AGTGTGACCGGTTCGTACCACCTTGCAACCATTATGAAACTCGTCAAACTGGAGCAATAACCAAGTCTGAAACTTGTACTAGTTTGAAGTGGTCTTTCCAATAGGGCAAAGATCATGGGCTCAATACCCACCCCAGCTAACTTACGCCGGCCAACTCGCTAACGAACCGGTGTACAGTAATAAAGGAAAGTCCGCTTTCCTTTCTCTCACTAGTTCGTGCACGTTGCATATCACCTACTGGGTTTGTTTTGACAATTTGTTTGTTGCCAAACTTTTGGAAAAGCCTACGGAGCGAATACGGGGCCAGATCACAAAAGGTACAGACGATAAACTATATTGAAGTGTCCACCGACGCGCACGAAAAAGACGCCATATTCGTTTTGCAGGGAACTAGAAAATCTGCAGATAATTTAAACCAAGAAAACGCGAAAGATCTAAAAAAAGTGTGATAATATTGGCTCATTTTGACAAATATAATTAATATATTGCAAAATTGAGACTAATATATATATATATATATATAGTTGCACTTCAGACAATATTTTGGTTGGTCTATATTCAGCTGCGCATTGAGACGGCGTGCTGCGGGTCTGTAGCTTTGGTTCCATTGCGACATAAGGTTGTGCTTGAGTATTCGCGACTCCAACGAAACGGACGTCACTTATAAAGAAAACGTGAACTAGACGGAACAGTTTTTTTCGCGTTTTCTGCTCGTCTCTTTTGGCTTCCTTGATTGCATGTTGTTGGTGGTTTGCAAGATAAAACAGTTGTCCCGGTGGCTTTGTGGCAACTCTAGTATCAGCTTTTTACCTAGGTTGCTCTTAACGCAACCTACGCCACCGCGTGAACCAGCCATTTCGCGTTTTTCATCATTCATAGCGTCGTGGAAGGACAGTAGGAAGTCCTTTCGAGAGATTGTTGTAATGAAATTTATTTAATGAAATTTCAGTAACACATTTACGATAATGAAATTAATTATTTTGATAATGAGTAATGTAATGTATTACTCTTATAGGCTGGCGATTCAGTAGTGCAATGAATTACTTTCAGTCAGTAAATTAAAAAAAATACTCCTTAATTTTTAAATTACTTTTATCCCAAAATAAGAAAGCCCAGTTTCCAACTTTATAAAAAAAACGCACCGCCACGGGGTAAATCATGTTGATTGGGGCGAAGCTCCGGTGGTGCTTGTCTGCGTAGACACTGAGCCGCAGCATGCCGAGCCTTTCGTTCGTTTTCATCCATGTCAGGCTGCGTTCAAATGCTGAAATGCGTATATAACCAAGTTCCATGGTCCATCTTCTCTTTCTGACATGGATGAAAACGAACGAAAAGGTCCGCAAGCTGTGGCTAACCGTCTACGCAGACAAGCACCACCAGAGCTAAGCCAAAATCAACATCATTCACCACGTGGAGATGCGGTTTTATTTTTGTTATTTTTGCCCTACACGAGCACGGGAGCACGTGCTCACGTGCTCGTGAGTACGAGCACCAGAAGCCGGACATCGGACGGACATACGGACATGGCTAGCACCTAAGGAGCTTCGCCCTTAAAATAAAATAACAAATATTTTTATAGAGAAATTTCGTGAAACAGACAACGGAGCAAATGAACGACAGCCATCTGAACGCAAAACCTCGTACGAAGAGCTCGACGGCCGCACAAAGGCGGCTGGAAAGGCGAAAGAAAAAAGCTTACATGCAAAGACATCACTGGAAGACCACGGCTCACGAACACTGCAAGCAGATTCGCTGCGGTTTCGTCATCACGACGACATTATACTTCTTTCATACATAATCTGACATTGCGGTGGGAGCTATACCAGGTCACAAGAACCAATGAACCATTTTCGTTTGATCGCCTGACCCGCCCCTTCCTCTGCATGCAGGTATGAGCGAGAGCCCGGTTATGGGGCGAAAGATGGACGCTTGACTGTTCCGTAGCTTCCACCCCACTGTCCGCTTAGGGATGAACGGCTTAAGGGCCCAAAGGCGAAGGGCACATTACAAGCGAAGTCAGCACATTTTAAAACCTGAGAGGACAGGACAAATAGATCTCCAGCCTTCTTGCTGGAGTGTCAAGCAAGGTCAAACCGTAAGCTTCGATCATTGTGAAGAAGTAACGACCGGAAGAAATAGTTAACAACAAACGCCTTGTCAAGGCCCCGGACGTTTCATGCGTATTCTTAGCCTTGTTAAGTGAAGGCGATTTCCGCAGTCGGAAAAAACTGAAATCGAGCAAAACAGCTACCGCTCGCCGTATGCCTCACTGCCCTTCCTTTCAGACCTACCCGTTTGATGGGAAAGTACACACTTTTAGTAAGCTCGAGGTATCCATTTCTTTAGGTTGCGACGCTTCCGCCCAGCGAATGTCCAACTCCTTTGTGTGATAACGCGCAATAACTTAGGCTTTTCGGGTTTTGGGGAACAATATTCCTTGAGAGGCATGACCGGCAAAACGTCAACTAGTGCTTTTGTGAGAATAGGATTAGATTCCGCAAGGCAAATGTTTCAGGTAACAATTTATTGTAAGATCGAGCTTCCATGGCCCTACTTAACATACTGACACGGGTTGTTGGTCATTTTCCTTGAGTAAGAGGGAAACAGCACCTTTTAACTAATAACATTCCCTGTTGAATGAACCGGAAAACAGGTCAGTGGACTCTTTTTAGTCACATCTAAAGAGGAAGCTACTCAAATTGTTTAACGCTCATGCCGTGTACGTCAGCAGGACGACCGTTCAGTATCGTTCGGTTCATGGTGCATCGGGCTTTTGCGGTGTAAACAGGAAGACCTGAGTTTTGGTACATATACTGTAAATAAAATGAGCACGAATGACTGACTTGATGCATTGAAAATAAATGTCAAACTGATTCTATTACTCTGAAGTAATTCTAATGTACTTTTAGTCTGCGCTAATTTGTGATGTAATTTATTTTATTTTCGCAGTTTCAGAAATGTATTTACTAAAGTGATTTGGCCATCGCTCCTCTCTTCTTTGCTTTTTCTAAGAAAATCAAGCCCCTGAAAACTCGGTTACGCCACCACATCGCTGCAGGTTTGAAACGTTGCGATAAAAATCGGGGCTAGCCATTTTGAGTCAAATGGTTGCTTGACGATGCCGCAGCGTAGTGCGTTGAGCTTGCACATGGTGCTGAACGATCTTTTTAAACCGCCATGTTCGTCCAATATTTGAATCCCCAATAGGTCGCTGTAGTCACAAATATACATAGAGGCGGAAACATGGGCTGTGAAACCCAGAGGAGCAGGTAGTAATATCGACTGGAGCAAATATTAACAGCGTGAATGGTATGTTTACTAAGAGATTAATTCCATATACCATTACTATTCAATATCCAGAAACGATATTAGTGGCAAAAAGGCAGGTTGTTCTTAAATTATGTATTGGCAAGGTTGTCACCGACAAAAGGCGTGCTTTGAGAGAGGCGGGTATAAAAGTAAGAATAGCAAACGACGCAGCAAGTGATCGGTGTAGCGTTGGTTCATCTACGTGTTGTCGCGTGCTGCGTTTGTTTACGTGATCCCTGTATGTGGTACGTTCAGCCGATTTATGGCGTGCGTAATGTTTCTGCAATATAAAGTGTAGACGGTGCAATTATATCCGCGCGAGCAATGCAAATAATTTTTAGACCTTTGAATTGGGCTATAGCTAGCACCTTCTAGCTTCTTCTGCTAAGTGGGAACTAAGATCTGTTACAGCAGTTATCATTCACTCTCAACCAACGTAGTGATTTCTGCATGGTCTTGCTGATGAGACTAGTTACCTTTAATAAATGTTAAAGTATTAACTGTTAAGAGCACGCCTGTTACACGCTGTATTTTGTAAGAAGGGGTGAGATGAGGTGAGGTTTTAACATACTGATGTGGGTAAGAAGGACTATTATTAAGGGTTAACGGCAGATAGTTAAGAGCGAATCTAACGCTTCAAATTTTAGCTTTCACCTGTAACCAATGTAGTCTAACCAACATTTGAATCGAATGATTATCGCGTCGCCTTCAATATACACTCACCATGCTCACTGCAGATGTGTACGGACAGAGACAAGGCAACGGAAATCCATGAGCCTTAGTGACTAGCAAACCACATTCTCCACGGGAGTGAGGAATGTTTTAGTCCTAACACAACGGAAACGAATTCTAGACTTGGACATGAAAGAGCGAAACAACGAACAATCTTTTGTATTAAAGAAATGTTCGTTACTAGTTATCACGTGTACCAAGAATACCAAGCCTAAATTTTTATGCATAAACTAATAGTCTGCTACTTCGTGCAAAACAATATTCCAGGCTAAACGTTAAACTGATTTATTGGTATACGAAATCCCGGCGCTCTTCAGTGAAGATATATGCTGATGAGGCTGAACTTAAGACACAGGGATATTTACAGCGCGTTCATCGTTCTATTAAAATTATAAGTTTATTTCAAGTCGAAGTAATTCCAGAGGGTGGCAAAAGGCAACGAGATACCCCTAGGCACGTCAATTTGTGTCGGAGCCTCTGAGGGGGATTGTTTTATTGGTAAAAAGACAGGGAAGTTCATGATCCTTTTTAATCACTGACTGTACTTTTTGAAATGCAGTTGTCTTGCAGGAGTTCTCTCACACACGCTTATAGACTTGTATTGGTTTATTTTTGTTTTCGAGTATTTCCTAAAATATATTGTTGTAGAGATCAATATCACTCAGCTAAGTTTCAAGACAACTTTTTGAAGGGGACAAGTTAATGTAAATAGACGCCCCCCGACAAGCAACAAAGGCACCAACGTGAGAAATTCTAAGCTTAGTTCTAACTGAGTGACTGCGCATTAGCTTATGTAATCAAGAAATAAAAGACATATGCGCGATCTCTACGCGCATGCTGAGAGAGACGTAGCGCAAAGGTAAGGCTAGAGTCAGAAATACATGTCTTGTCGCCAATACTTTCTGCTTGATTAGTAAACGGATATCACTTAACTAATAAATGGCGCCTTGCTCACTTACCGTATAGCAAGGCAATGGTGTATACGAATATGAGAAAGAGTGAATTCATTGCTCTCAATATCGGCAAGGACCTCCTAGGCTGTATTTTGATTCCAAACTGGGAAAAAACTCAAGTGCTGCGTGTCCGTGTTAAATGCGCTTGTATGCGACTTAAATGCCCTTATGTTGATGCAAGAACTTCCGCCTTCATCCTCAAATACAAAGCGCTTGTGTGATGACATTTGAACTAGGAAGTTGTTTTGATGCAGCGAAAATACGTTTTCAGAGTCTGATGTTAACGCCCACTTCTAAACTATTGAAAGTCACCTTTGAACACGTATTGTGTTATTTTGATACCCCACACCAAACGCTTCGCCATTGAGATGTCCGAGGGGTTTAGAAATTGCTTTGAACGCAAAGATGACGTATCCCCACGACGTCTGGGGTTTTCAAAACACGGTCCGCTGATCACATCCTTCTGGCGGAGGCTTTTTCACTTGCACACGGCTGGCCGCGGTCCTTTCAGAAACACCGGGACCACGGCCCATTTCCAGCAGACCCGGGGTGACTGGCGCAAGAATAAGAGCATGCAAAGCAATGGCGTCGCGGCGCTTACCAAACACTTTGAATCCGTGTCTATTCCCACTGAAAGTTGAGACCAATATTTATTGCACCATTGTCACCCCGGCATCACACTTCTGAGTTCACTCTTTCATATCTGTGTAACTGCGTTAAAAGGGAAAATATCGTAAGCGTGCAGGCGGGGCAGGTGGAGGGCTGAGGACAAACAGAAAGACGTTCACGAAACAGAAAATAGACAGGACGATGTCTCAAGTTTTCTGTCTCTTCTATGCTTTGATGTGTCTTCTCTACCCCAGTCTCTGGGAGAGAGAGTTGAGAAGAAGGATCAAAATCTTGACCACAAAGAAAATAGACACGACGGCGTCTCAAATGTTCTGTCTATTCTACGTTTCGTTGTGTCTTCTCTACCCCAGTCTCAGGGGGACCGGGTTGAGAAGAAAGATCAAAACTGTGGCGTTCGCCTTCCGCCGTCCGCCGCAGGTGATCAACCAGACGACTCGTTCCTCGGGGTCAAACAGGGTTTATTACCATGACTCGGCCTGGTCAAGACTCGGGGCAGCAACTGCCCTCGGCCACACGGGCCATCCCTTTTCTAGCCTGTCGGCGCCGGGAGCCGCCCCCCCCCCCCCCCCCCCCCCCCCTAGTCGCCGGTTTGGCCGCCGTGGGGCGGGCCGAGCGCCCCACAAAATGTACGTTTCGATGTGTCTTCTCTACCCCAGTCTCAGGTTGATTCAGCACGGCGTTAAAAGTATTTTGCTGTCTCATATGTATTGCGCTTGACTCTTTGTGTGACATGTATTCCGTATTACCCATCCCAGTCCTATCATCCACATTAGTTTTATGCTTCAGAGTTCATATTCGTCATGATTTACGCGTGGTGAATATTTCTGGCTAAGAATTATTGTATAATGTCATAACTCCCTATTGAAAAAGATTTTTTACCGGAATTTTATTTTCAGTAAAAAATTATTTTACTGAATTAAGGGGCTCTCTTCCTTTCCAGTAAAGCCAGAATTTACCAAAAATCACTGGATTTGCCGCAATTAAGCGGAACTTACCGTGTTTTTTTTTTTTTCGTACGCCAACGGAAGGCATACAGGAAGAAGCCTGTGAATTGTGGGTAGTGTATGTTTAACAAATGCTGGACTCTTCGCTAACAAAATAAAACGCGGCTAGTGCCTGAAAGATCCATGTCTTTATTTCACAGGGTCGATACCAGTGAAACAATTTGCACAGCTGCAGACAAAATCCATCAGACCAAATAGGAACAAGAATTTCTTTGCCGCAAAAAATCTCTCCCAAAGTACTCACAATGTCGCCTCGTAAATTCCTAGATGTACAGTAGTTCAACAAATAAAACCGAGCAGGTGCACCAGAAAGACACACACACACACACTGTCCGCAGCACGCTTAGCGGAAACCACGAACGCGCGGAATGAACATCCACCACCGTTGAGAAAGCAGGGGCACAGACACGGCGTCTCCGGCGTCTTTTTCGCTCACTGGACCTCCCCCGTAAACAATTCCTGGCTACGCCACTGCTGGAAACCCTGCGATGATGGTTATGGTCCCACGACGTCCTGATGTGCATAGCTCAAGCGAGTGTCAGATTTGTGAAAAATGCCGTGAGGTGTGATCGTGTTTTGATGGACTTTCAATTTTTTACACTGAGGGCACGATTGCGACCGACGCCTCACACCTGCGTTGATGCCCGGCCACACACAGCGTAATGTGACTAAACGCTTGGAGCGCGTGTACAAGCCTGTGGCAGGGTGTGCAGTGCCTGAAACATTGTGTGTGGGATTTCCGTAGAGATGTATGGTCGCCGTGGTGCCCGTAAAAACGTCGCAACCGATCGTTCTGTTGCTGTCAGGAACGTTGACGTCTTAAAGGGTGAGGGATGTTTTAGATGTGCACAGTTTGCCTGTTTGGCTCGAGTGAGAACTGCAAAGTCTACTTGTCGAGTTGAAGAGAACTTGTTTATGTGCATACGAGCTAACGCAACGGCGGCGGGGTTGTCTTTGCCCGATACGAATTGTTTGTTTGTTGTTACTTCGGAGAGGAAGGAAATATGACGTAAGTCTCGTAAGGTATGGTTGAAATTGTTAGATTCAAACGCGTGTCTCAAAAAACTTGTAATTCGTCCAAATACAAAATTGTCTACCTGCCAGGAAATGGCGAAAGTGTTTTCCAGCAAGAAACAGTCCAAGTAGCTCTCTGCAGAATGTACTGTATCTTGTTTCTGCTGGCGAATATAGTTTTCAGAGGAACGACACTGGACACCCTTGGTCGTCGTCTAACTCTAGTAGAACTTCACCTGCTGCGGTCTCGGATGCGTCAACCCTGATAAATGTCAGAATGAGGTGAACAGCATTGATGTCGAGAGTGCCTTTTTGATGGCCGATAATTGGGCAGTGGCTGGTTCTGTCCAAGTTACTTCGTTCTTGCGGTTGTATCTTGCGAGAGGTTCTGAAGATCGTATATAAAAATGTACGATCTCGAGAAGCTTGAGGAGTGTTCAAATCGCGCCCGGGCACGGTGGAAGAAATACATTTAAGAGATGACTCTCGCCGCTCTTCCCGTGAAGAAGGAGTTACGCGATCGTGTTTGCTGCTAGCCTCGTACCAGGAGCAGTCAATTCCGCGCCGCCGCGGAGGGCGCTGGGGTATGAGCATCGTGGGTATGAGGCCCCCCCTCGGGGCCCGCGGTGCCGGCGGCGTGGTGTGCTCGCCTTTTTCATAGGGTGGTGGTCGTGTGGTGCCTGTGGCAGGCCTTGCGTTTTTCTTTGGTGCAGTGTCGATCACAGGTGCCACCATCGCGCACGAAGGTGAGCCTTAACCCAAAGAAGAAGAAGAAGAAGAAAGAGAACACAGTTTTACGGAATCCTGGCGGCTTGGTGGAGGCGTTGCGGCGGTGAAGTAAACGAAAAGTGGTAAGCGAGGGACTGGGGGTGGGGGGGGGGGGGGGGGGGGGACCATTGCTGGAAGCAACAACCGGAGCGGTCTGTTTGGGAGGGATTCCATATTTGGGCGCCATTTATCCCAGTGCAAGTGAAGCGCTCTGTCCGCCGAACATAATGTGGTCCCCGCGTCGGGCAGAGAGATTTTACCTAAATGTATCTTACACCGTGCGTCCGGGTCACCATTTTTCGGTTGCTTAAGAGAGCAAGCAGTCGTAAAAACTCAATTATACAATATATTTGAGTACTTCTGAAAAACCACTGCTAAAAATCCTCGACATATATTGAAAGGCTACCATGCCAAACATGACAATGCATTGAGTAGTAGCCTTTCAAAATAAATCGGGGATTCCTAGAAGTGGCTCTTTAGAATTCCTCAGTTTGTTATCTTCGGAAACTTTGAATCACTATGACGGCAAGCATTACTTCCAAAAACAGGGCATATGTATCGGGTAGTGTATCGCCCCAGTTCTCAGTAATATATTTTAGCACAACTTGATAGCACTGTTAGCAGCCGATTTTAAGGGTTCAAAGTAAAGGAAGATTCAGATACGTAGATGATTTCATAGTTCTTACTCGTTCCGATACCAACGCTTTTGAAGCAAAGAGTGCGAAAACCATGACCACTTTTAAGTAATGCCTCTGCACGCTCGACGCCACGGATGAGATGCCGGTAGAAATCTCTATACGTTTTCTATACTTCAGGTTTTTATTTCTCGACGATCACTTCCGCGTGCGCATAAGCCGCTGCATGCTTTTCATTCAGGCAACTCCAAGCTGATCAAAACAAATATTGTTAGCCTCTGTCTTAACAATGCATTCAAACATTCCACTGAGCATTTGACCTTTGCTGGTATTGAGCAGCACGCAATGCAGTTGGCTGCAGCTGGGTACTCCAAGCACATTATTGTTGCGGTCGCTGCAGTCCTTCTAGGAAATCACTGTCTCAAAGAAAAACAATGGAAGCCAGCCGGCGATACAGAAAGAAAAAGTTGTTATATCGTATATTCACCAAGTGTCGCATGATTCGAAGAAAATAGCTTTACAGTCAAGTGTAAAGGTAAAGTTTTTCCAGCCAATGCGCTCATGAAATTGTGCAAACCAACAAAGCTTGACGTACCTGCCCAACACGAATGCGAAAAGAAGCACTGAACGAAATTTGTCGACTGCCACACATTTCATGGTATCTCGCAATCCGCTGTCTTGTGGCGTGCAGTACGTCGGGCAGACGGGGTGATGACTGAATGATGAGCTTCGCGAGCACTGCAACGATATGCAAAAACACAACAATGGGTTTCTTGACATGCATTGCAGGGCATGCGGTTGTGGTCCACTATTTGATGGATGCGTTAGAATTAAAAGAGGCGAGGGTACCATAACACTTGTAATTGTAGAAGCTAAAATTTACTTAGGCAAAACGGGTATCGCTAAGCCTTCAATAGCTCTATCTGAAAATGAACTTGCTTACCTGGGAGCAAGATAATACTGTACCCTGATCATGCTCCGTGATGGTTCTTTGTGTTGTTTTG